TAATTAAAACAGACATGGACACCACTAGATCTCTGAAGATATGCTGTGGTATCTGGAACCAAGCAATCAGTAGCAGGTCCTTTAAGTCTTGTATGTTGTGAGATGGGGCCTCCATGGATCAAACTTTTTTTTCCAGCACATCCCACAGATACTCAATTGGATTGAGATATAGAGAATTTGGTCAATATCTTAAAATTGTGTTCCTCAAACCATTCCTGAATTCATCAGCCCAGGCCATGCATTGCTCCGTGGTCCATCTCCGATGTTCAAATGCCCATTGTAGGTGCTTTTGGCTGTGGACACGGGTCAGCATAGGTTCCCTGACTGGTCAGCAGCTATGCAGCCCCATTCACAACAAACTGTGATACACTTCTGACACATTTCTACCGGAACCAGCGATAACTTTTTCAGCAATTTGAGCTACAGTGGCTCTTATATTGGATCGGACTACACAGGCCAGCCTTCATTCCCAAAGCGCATCAATAAGCCTTGGCCACCCATGACCCTGTTGCTAGCTCACCAGTTTTCCTTCCTTGGACCGCTTTTGGGTCAGTCCTGACCACTGCAGACAGAGAACATCCCACAACAGCTCCAGTTTTGGAGATACTCTGACCCAGTTGTCCAGCCATTATAATTTGGCCCTTGTCAAAGTTGCTCAAAACCTTATGCTTACCGAATTTTCCAGCTTTCAACACATCAACTTAAGGGACAACATGTTCACTTGCTAACAAATAGTTTGCATCCACTTTAAGGTGCCATTGTAAAGAAATAATCAATATTATACACTTTACCTTTCAGTGATCATAATGTTATGGCCAATCGGTATGTGTAGTTGTAGTAGTTTTCAATGTACTGGACTCCTATTACCCAAATGTTGCCCATGTATAGTCAGGATTGCTATTTTTACATATTTTAAGGCTGAGAGCACACCAAAACACTTTAACGCACATTATCACATGTGCACAAGGTAGCCTGTTGTGATGCTTATACATCCGTTCAACAAAAAGGTTCTTTTTTTGATGCATCAATACACAATAAAAGGCCTATTGATGACAATTGTGTTTGGTGTACTGGTCTTGTACTCACTGCGCTGGCATTTCATCTACTATACGTACTATATGCCATGTTCCCGGCTCTGGTGGGTCAGGCGACCACGCCGAGATGTCGCAGATATCTATTAGTGGGGTTAATTGCAGCAGCTGCATCTGATGATTCCCTGCAAAAGTTAATGATTTGTGAAGATGGAGGAGATTGGCGCAGTCAGCAGTGATAATAGGTCTGCTGTAACCAGATTATCGCTGGACTGAACCTGCTAACTGCCACCTTTTAATATCACCAGCAGCAGACAGAAGGAGGAAGGCTGGAGACTGCCTGGGCTGCTCAGAATAGCCAATCAAATTCCAGCTCTCACCTCACTATTCATATCAGCCAATTACATTACGATAAACCATTATTTCCTGCAGGATGTGCGCTAGTCCCTGCACTGAATGCTTTACATCACTCGCTGGCAGCTGAATACACCAGTGCTTAAAGAAAGTGATAAATATGTTGTATTCTCCGGTCCTGGTAATATTATTAAGACAACGTGAGGATCAGAGCAGAGCAAGTCCCCAGATAATACACAACAATGCAAATTAGAAAGACAGTTTATTACAGACTGCTAACACAGGAATCACACAGTGCGGCCAGCACTCTGCAATGTGCGGATGGTTTGGGGCTGCATGGTTTGGGGCTGCTTTGCTGCCTCAGGGCCTGGACGGATTGTTGTCATTGATGGGAAAATTAATTTCAGAGTTTATAAGAAAGACATTTTGCAGGAAAACGTACGACCATCTGTCCGCCAACTGAAGCTCCGCAGAGGATGGGTGATACAACAGGACAATGACCCAAAGCATACAAGTAATTCAACAAAACAATGGCTGCAACAGCACAGAATACGCCTTCTGGAGTGGCCCAGTCAGAGTCCTGACCTCAACCCAATTGAAATGCTGTGGCATGACCTTAAGAGAGCGATTCACACCAGACATCCCAAGAATATTGCTACACTGAAACAGTTTTGTGAAGAGGAGTGGTCCCAAAAATATTCCAGATCGTTGTGCAGGTCTGATCTGCAACTACAGGAAACGTTTGGTTGAGGTTATTACTGCCAAAGGAGGGTCAAGCAGTTATTAAGTCTAAAGGTTCACATACTTTTTGCTCCCTGCACTGTGAATGTTTACATGTTATGTGCAATTAAACCATGGCAACATCTAATGTTTGTGTAGTATTATGTTCAGCAGACTGTGTTCTTCTATTGTTGTGACTTAGATGACGTTCAGAGAACATTTTATGCCCAATTCATGCAAAACTCCACATAATCCCAAGGGGTTCACATACTTTTTCTTGCAACTGTATATACATGTATAATGAAAATAGTGTGTGACTGTAGTAAAAACATTAGAGTGTAAGCTCTTCTGTTGCAGAGGCTGATGTGACTAGCTCAGTGTTCCCTGTACGGCACTATGAAATATGTCAGAGCCATATATGTATATATGTAATGTATAATATTACTAGGAGTGTGTGCCACTGGTGAGACATTAGAGTGTAAGCTCCTTCGGTACAGAGATCAATGTGACCGGATTAATGTTCTCTAAACAACGCCACAGAATATGTCACAGCTATATAAATGTATAATAATAACAACAATGTGTGGCTGTGGTGGAGACATTAGAGTACACATTTGTGTTTATTAAAAAGCTTAAAAAACAACATAATAAAAAACATATTTACATATATACAGAATAAAAAAATATATATATATAATTAAACAAAAATAGCTTACTTCAGCATAGAAAACAGGAAACTGCTTTTTTGCCGGGAAAAAAAAACATATACAGAACTAATCATATTTTAATAATATTATTATCTTTATAATGTATCTCAACAAACCCTATCGTCACCTATACACACCCTAAGAAACTATTAAAATTTTTTCCCATGCATGCAGCCTTTTTTTTTTTTGAAATCTGATCTTACAAAAATCTAGGGGACATGAAAGGACATAAAGAGAAGCCACGCAACCAGAGACTGACAGACAGCAGCTACGGGGACCTGACATACCTCCACGCCTTTGTCCAGGCTCCTGGCCACCACTTGTCCTTCTCAAGACCCTGAATCTTTTATAACCTCACCCAGAATGTTCTGCACCACCACCTCAACAAGAAGGACTTTTTTGCAAATGGAAACCTGACACTGTGCATTCCACATGTAGTAATGGACTACTAAGCCAACTAGAAAAAGTGTCTTGAAATCAAAATCCCGGTGAGTTTGAAAGGCTCCGTAAGACCACTCCACATAACTCAAGTGGGAAAGGAAAGGGATACCCAAAGCCCCACCCACCCGCTTGTAGACTTCTATGTTGAAAGGGCACTGAAGGAAAAAATGGTCCAGCGTTTCCTCCACCACACTCCACTCCGCAGAGCGATGCTTCAGGTTGCTCTTCACATAGAGTCTGCCATGGAACGAGAGCCAAACCAAACCCCCGGAACTTTAAAGGGATTCTCTCCATATTCATCAAACGCAGACCCTCCCTCATAACCGGGCCTGTGCAATCCCTCAAGGCCAGTGGCTTGCTAAAGGCAGATTCAACAACCCTCCTCTCCAGGGCCTTCCTAGGAAGAGACTTAATTTCTTCCTCCGTCACTCGCCACTGCTGAAGCATTTTCAGGCACAGGGCAACATAAGCCGGGAGCTTATGTTGGACCCTCAAGCTTTTCACTGGCCCACCATTCTCCCAGGTCCGCAGAAAATGCCTAAACCAGAACCAAAAAATACCAACCCAGCCAGTTGTCAGCATGCTACCAAAATTATGTTTAAAAACCATCAGAGAAAATGAACCACCGGGTTGACCATACCTATGTCGCCCATCCGCCTGGGAAGGTAGGTGTAAGATCTCTACATGAGGCTCAGTTTGTTACCCCATAACAGCTTGAAGAAACAACTGTAGATCATCGTATAGAGAAACACTGGCAAAACACAAAGTTGACATACAGAAATACTGGGATTAGGTAACTTTTAATCAGGTCAATCCTTTCCTTGTAAGAAAGTTTCCAATCCTTCCAGCTGGCAACCTTGGCATCGGCATCTTGTAGCCTGCTTACCCAATTTGCAAGGCCATTATCACCAGGACCAAATTTGATGCCTAAAACTTTAATTTCCTGCTGAGGGTCTGGGAAGGTGTCCGGCAGCTCAAAGCCTTTGCCTTCCTCTCCCATCTAGAAAACCTCACTCGTATCCAGATTCATCTTTGAACCAGATGCCTCAGCTTACTGTTCCATCACTGAGACCACCTCCTCCTCCTCCTACGTCACAGAGATGAAAACAGACACGTCATCAGCATAAGCCACGACTCTCAGGGGAGGCTCACCAGGAATGCCCAAAGGCACTCCACACAATGGTCCGCTCTCTAACCTCTGAATGAAGAGATCGATTGGGAACGCGTATAGCAGAGGACTTAAAGGACACCCCTGATGCACACCTGAGCCAGCCTCAAAGGGCCATCCGACCCAACTATTCACAAGCATGAAGCTTTCATCACCCCTGTATAAAGTCTTCAGCCAATCGATAAAGCCCCCCTCCAGGCCATACTTGTCAAGAAGCAGCCATAGGTACTCATGATTGACCCAATCAAAAGCTTTGGCCTGATCCAATGCCAGCAGAAACTTTCTCCAGCCTACAGCCCTGCACTGTTCCAGGGCCTCCTGGACAGCTAACACCACTGAATAAAGTGTTTCTACCCTGAACCGAAAGGAGCTGATGGCAAGAAAGTAAATTGCCTGCTACAGGCGATAAACACCAGAAAATTATCTTTGCCAGTATCTTCCTATCAACATTGAGAAGGCTAATGGGCTGCCAATTCTCAATTCTTGAAAAGTCTTTTCCCTTTGACAGAAGAATCACTGCAGATTGTCGCATGGAGACAGACAGCCATTAAAAACCTCCACCAAATATGGGGCCAGAGTAACCGTAGCCTCCCTGGCGGTATTCCCGAGTGTAGCTCGGGGTAAAGTTTCAGTACCACAAGTGGTAACCCGAGCTACACTTGGGCTTACCATGCGGCGCTGCTCCGGGATCCCTCGATCACTTACCTTGTCCTGCGCTCCCTTGATGTCCCTCCTGCAGTGTCCCCTGTAATGTCCTCCGGTGGATGCCTTCATCTGTCATCTGGGTTCCGTCCCCTGCGAGCGTCGGGACGTACGGGGATGGAACTGGCGGGAAATTTGAAAATGACAAAAAGTGACATTCACTAAAATCACATAGTAAAACATTACTGTATCAAACCATTTCACATACATTTTGTCCCGAGTGCTTTGTCCGGCGCCCTGCCTACATTTTTACCGTTCTTTCTGCCTGGAAACTGAGAAACACCCATGGCGTCCAAAAAGCGTTCCTTTAGGTCAAAAGCGGTTTTAGACCAGCTAGAGAACAGCGATAGTAACTTAGAACCACTTGCAGAAGTGAGTGATAATGATTTGGGGGAAATTCGTCATCAGACACTGAAAACGATTCTGCGACTTTGCTCAGTGATGTGCGAACTTGGCGCTATATTTCAAATTTCAGTGTTTTTTAGTTTGACTATATTATTGAATTAAATTTATTATTATTATATTATTTTTTATGATTATTTATTAAATTATAATTTATGATTTCAAGTTTCAAATTTTAACATACCCGGGATGTTTACTAGACTTTTGTTCGGACAGATTTCAGTGAGTTATTCCTAAAAATTACAGGTCTACAATAAAAAAAAAATACATATTTCCATGCAAAAAAAATGTACCGCTTTGAGCACAGAAATATGGACATAATCAGACCACTAGGGAGGTTAAAGTGCTTATAAAACTCGGCTATCAATCCATCTGGCCCAGGCGACTTCTTAATGGCAAGCTTCTCAGTAGCTTTAACCACTTCATCTGCCGTAATGTCCTCTGTCAAACTCACAAGAGAACTGCCTGGAGTAGAGTCCAGAAAACTTGACATGCACGCCCAATCGAGGTCCCTCCTACTCAGGGAGGTCTGCATAATATGACCTGGCCATTTCCAGGATCCCCGACTTGCATTTTTTCAGGGAACCCGTACTGTCAACCAGGCCTACAAATGACTTAACTGCTCGAACTTGTTTGCAATTCTGGTAAGGGTCGGGCGAGTGATATTTCCCATAATCCCTTTCCAGAACCAAAGAGACTGTAATATTAACACTTCCTGAACAAGAGTTTAACCTCAGAGATCACCCCCGGATCTCCATTATTCAAGACAAGCCTATCAAGCTTATTCCGCAGATGCTGGTAGGTGACATAAGCTGTTTATTTCTTCCTATGGCCTTGAAAAACCCAACGATCCTTTGTTTGGTAATCTCTCACCACTCTGACTTACTGCTGCAAAAGTCCATGATCGATACCTGTGCCTGAAAAAAATCCTCAAAGGATTGACTCACCTTCTCATCATCCAGGAGTGCCGAATTCAGCTTCCAGGTACCCTTCTCCCAAGGTGGTATATCAGGGTCATTCAGAGTCACAGACAGAATACAGTGATCGCAAAACTCCACCGCCTGATGCACTGGTGCCGCGAAGGCGGAGTTCCCCTTTAAAAAAAACCCCAGAGTGCAAGCTCCTCTGGTGCAGAGACTGGTGTGACTGTGTTCTCTGTACAGCATTACAAAATATGTCAGAGCTATATGAGTACATCCAACTTTGTCCTCAGATTCCAAGTGCTCTGGGATTCCCCCAAACACATAAAATAACTGCATGAAGAATTGTGTATTTCTGAATCAGAGCACAATATGCTGAAAGGGAGTTTTTTGGCCATTCCCCTCTTATATGAGCTATTGTATGGTTTGTGATGATCCATATAGATGAAATCTTGCTTTGTATGAACGTTTTCAGCCAATCAGAGAGCTCTGTCTTGTTTCTATAAACAGCCTAAAGCCCAACAGAATATCCATTGGAGTATCTGTAATGAATAGGTTCCTTACTACGACCCGTCCCCCAGATCTAAACTGCAGTGAAATGTGGGATTGTCAGGGGTGATTCCATCTCTGTCACCTTTTCTGTTCACTAATTTGGCTGGGTGCTGCGATTCAGCAGTTGATAGACTACACACAGGAAAGACTAACTGCAATAGATCATTTGTCCAGTTAAAAAAAAAAAAAAAAAAAAGTTAAAAATTGCTGCAAGCCCAGTGTATGAAATAAAGCCATAACACACCACGCGATTCCAATGGGGCCTGGAGCTGTCTGATCAACAGTAGCTTCGGACAAGTAGTACAGATGAACTAATTGTATATAAAGTTCGGGAATCTCACTGGAGATATTAACTCCAAGATGGAGATAAGACAGGCTTGGGGCCCCATAATGTCTTTTCTGTGGGGCCCCATCCCACATAGGTTATGTCCTGCAGTTCATTGTCAATTCTGATTGTCTGACCCAATGGAGAGGTGTTTCCTGACTCCAGTGATTCCTCGTCACTTAGTGACCCGCACTTTGGACATTTCCAGCACAAATCACATGATTGTTCTTCACCGAAGGATGAAAATTGCTGAGAGTAGACAGAGGGGAACACCATACATTATTAAATCATCTCATTAAGGCTGATTATTCATGGAGCAGCTAATAATATTCTGTACTATTCCCACTCCAGCATTGCTGGGTTCAATTTACATAAAAGGCAGAGCAGGGCGCAGGGGGCGGGAGATCAATCCCGCAGACACATCCCGGCCAATATGAGTCCAATTCCAAAAGAAAAGTCACCAAATACTAAAATTACCTCAAAAACCAAAAAAAAAAACCCAAAGACCAAAAACTTTCCATTCTAGGATCATAGCAGCTTCAATTGCAGAATAAAAGCACTGCTATTCCTTGTCCCGGTGTCACTCACCCAAGCTCTTCTCCTTCCTCTCCATTCCTACAACCAATCCTTATTGATAGATGTCACTCACTCAAGCTCTTCCCCTTCTCTCTCCCTTTCCTATAGCTTGTCCTTTTTCTGTCAGTGTCACTCACTCTGGCTTTTCACCATTTCTATTCTACAGCTTTTCCTTGTACTATTGGTGTCACTCACCCCCACTCTTCCCCTTCTCTCCCAATCTACAGCCAATCCTTGTACTCTTAGTGTCACTCACCCCTGCTCTTCCCCTTCTCTCTCTCTCATTCCTACAGCCAGTCCTTGTTCTGTCAGTTTTATTCTCCAATGCTCTTCCCAGTCTCTCTCATTCCTACACCTGGTCCTTGTGCTATTAGTGACATTTAGCCCCACTTTTCCACTTGTGTTCTATAAATGTTACTCTCCCCCCCACTCTTCCTTTTCTATCAGTATCACTTTTCCCCACCCAATCCTTTCTATCAGTGTCACCCTCCCCCACTCTACCCTTTCTATCAGTGTCATTCCCCCCCACCCTACCCCATCTATCAGAGTCACTTTCCCCCACTCTACCCTATCAGTGTCACTCTCCCCCCACTCTACCCTTTCTATCAGTGTCACTCTCCCCCCTCTACCCTTTCTATCAGTGTCACTCCCCCCCACTCTACCCTTGATGTCAGTGTCACTCTCTCCCACTCTATCCTTTCTATCAGTGTCATTCTCTACCACCCTATCGTTTCTATCAGTGTCACTCTCCCCCACTCTACCCTTTCTATCAGTGTCACTCTCCCCCACTCTACCCTTTCTATTAGTGTCACTCTCCCCCACTCTACCCTTTCTATCAGTGTCACTCTCCCCCACTCTACCCTTTCTATCAGTGTCACTTGCCTGACTCTTCACTTCCTCTCTCATTTCTCCAAATAGTTGATGTGATTCAGTGGTGTTTGGAGCCCCTTGTCCTAAGGCTTGGAACTGCCCAACATCTAATTTAAATACTTATTAATTAGTTGCAGGTACTTTCCTCAGGAAGACTTGGGTTCTTGGGGAGTGTGGTGCTTCCATCGCCAAACCTGTATATATGTATTTTGATGTTGAGTGGTTGGTAACAGGGAGGAAGCCAGGGTGAGAACCTGAGGACTGACCACCAATGTAAGGGGAAACACCACCAATGTAGAGGGTCACAATGATCAACAATGTAGGTGGATTCACTGATCACTAATGTAATGGGACACATTGATCACCAGTGTAAGAGGACACAGTGACTGCCAATGTTAGGAGACACACTGACCATCAAAGTAAGGGAACATATTGACCACTAATGTAAGGAAGCACACTGACCAGCTACATAAGGGGACACACTGATCACCAATGCAAGGGGACACACTGATCACCATAGTGATGGGACATGCTGGCCACATACATAAGGGGACACATTGATCACTAATGTAATGGGGCACAATGACCACCTACGTAAGGAACACACTGTCCACCCACGTAAGAGGACATGCTGGCCACCTACATAAGGGGACAAACTGACCACCAATGTAATAGAGTACAATGGCCACCTACATAAGAGGACACACGGACCACCTATGTAAGGGGACACACTGACCACCAATGTAATGTGACACAATGACCATCTACGGAAGGGAACACCCTTCTACGGAAGGGAACACCCTGACCACCAATGTAATGGGACATACTGGCCACCTATGAAAGAGTACACACTGACTACCAATGTAAGAAGACACACTAAGCACTGACCACCAATGTAAGAGGGCTTACTGACTACCGATGTAAAGGAATACACTGATCATCAATATAAGGGAGTGCACTAAACAATGACCACCAATGTAGGGGGCACACCTATCACCTATGTAAGAAGTACACTTTGCATTGACCACCAATGTGAGGGGAAACACTGACCACCAATATAAGGGGACACACTGACCACCAATATAAGGGGACACACTGACCACCAATATAAGGGGACACACTGACCACCAATATAAGGGGACACACTGACCACCAATATAAGGGACACACACTGACCACCAATGTAAAGGCAGACACTGACCACCATCATAAAGGACACACTGACTACCAATGTAAGGGGGCTCACTGAGTGAGAGCTCACCACCTGTGTAGGGAGGCACACTGAGCATTGGCCACTAATGTAAGAGAACACATAGAAAACTGTGTATGTTACATAGTCCTGACTGCTATATTCTATACGCTACATTATAAAGTCATGAATGTTGCACTTTATACTCTATGTTGTACATTAAAAAGCCCTAACTGCTGCATTTAATATACTATATTTTGCATATAGTCCTGACCGCTCTACCATGTACACTACATGCTCCAGTCCTAGATGTTTTCTTGTCTCAACAGTCTCTGGTTGCATAGTAGTAAATAATTATTTTAATGAAGATCAGACA